GTTGATATTTCACTTCCAAAAGGAAAAGTTGAAGGCCCAGATGTTGAAATAGAGGGAGGTTCTGGAGGAAAATTCAAAATGCCTCACATGAAAATGCCGAACATCGATATCTCTCCTCCTAAAGCAAAAGTCGAAGGCACTGAAGTAGAAGTGGAGGGAAAGGGACGAGGAAAATTCAAAATGCCTCACATGAAAATGCCAGATTTTGACATCTCTCTGCCCAAAGGAAAGATTGAAGGTCCAGAAGTTGAAATGGAGGGATACATGAAAATGCCTTCAGTTGATATTTCAATGCCAAAAGGACAGGTTGAAGTTCCAGACACTGAAGTAGAGGGAAGTACCGGAGGGAAGTTCAAAATGCCTCACATGAAAATGCCAGATTTTGACATCTCTCTCCCCAAAGGAAAGATTGAAGGTCCAGATGTGGACCTAAAGGGAAGGTGGAAAATTCAAAATGCCTCATATGAAAATGCCAAATATTGACATCTCTCTGCCCAAAGGAAAATCTGGCAAAATTGAAGGAGCAGAGCTGGAGATTGAAGGAGATGAGGGACAGTTCAAGATGCCTAATGTGGACATATCTATTCCTAAAGGAAAAACAAATATTGACACACCAGAGATGAAAGTGGATGCAGAGGGAGGAACCATCAAGCTGCCACATATCAAGATGCCAAAAGTTGATATTTCAATTCCGAAAGGTAAAAGTAAAGATGTTGAAGCACCGAATATAGAGATGGGAGTCACTGGAGGAAAATTCAAAGGTCCAAATGTTAAACTTCCAAATGTGGGTATATCAGTACCGAAGGATAAATCGGGTGAAGTGGAGATCAATTTACCAACCTTTGAGACAGGAGGGAAAATTAAAGGGCCAGAGGGTCATGGTGAAGCTGATTTACATGTTGAGGGAGAGCACAAAGGTCTGAAACTCAAGGTGCCAACAATAGATATCAAGGGTCCAAAAGGAGACCTGGAGCTTGATATAGGACTTCATAGAGGAGATGGCAAGAAGGACAGGAAAAAAGTTGAACTACCTGACTTGGATCTCAACACAGCAGGAACTAGCAGTAAAGTAAAGGGGCCTAAAGTCAAAGGAACAAAATTCAATATTGGAATGCCAAAAAAGAAAGCTGGCAAAAATGTAACAGCAGAAGCAAAAATATGCAAAAACTGTGGCAATGTGGAGTTAGGTGGTAAAGTCAAACACAAATGCGAGGTTAAAGAAAGACTTGAGTATGAAGTTGAAGTTGAAACCCACAATGGAGATAAAGAGGAAAAAGGTCGAATTAACATCGTAGTGCCAGAGGTTACATTACCAAGTGTACAAGGCTCAGCCAGCTTAGGAGCTGGAGGTGTGGGTGGCCTCTCATCATCTGGAGCAGAAATCAAAGTCCCCAGGATTCCAGACATAGACTTTGACATTGGTACATCACAGGATGAAGATGATAACAAAACAGAAAAAGGCAAGAAAATCAAAATCCCTAAGTTTGGTGTCCCATTACCCTCCATCTCCTCTCCTGAGGGACGAATTAATCTCTATGGGCCAGAAATTCAGTATGAGGGCCCTAAAATGCCCAAAGTAAAGAAAGCTGTTTTTGTCTTGGTAAATCCTCCTCAAACAGATGAGCCCGCTGCATGCACTGGCACAACATCTGAGGCTGAAACAGAGGACGTTAGAGTGAAGATGCCCAAAATCAAAATGAAGCCAAGCTTTGGGAAATCCAAAGATACGTCAGGTGCTGTGAGCACAGAGTGGGAGGGAGACGACAAGTTAAAGGGAGGAAAGATGAAAATGCCCCAAGTGTCATTTTCTGGCAAATCAGGGTCATTTGATGTTAAAGGTTCAAGTTCAAGTCTCAACGGTGAACAAGATGCAAGTCCTCACAAAGGCTCCAAGGATGATAAAGGGACATTTGGAGGTAAATTCAAACTTCCAAAGGTTGAGTTCACCTCTCCATATGGCAAGATGGCTGCAGAGGAGGACACAGGGATGAGTGTGAAACTGGGAAAGGATTCATCACCAGGAGAAGTGGGAAGAGACACTAAAGGGCTTAAAGTGAAATCAGGAAAGATGGCCGCAGCAGGTTTTAGTGAGGAGCCTTCGGGGGCTGTGGTGTCATCTCATGCCAGAACAGAAATGCTGGACAGGGACAGCTCAGAGTCCCCCTCTGGTTATAACATGGAGTTCAGCTCAACAAAGGTCCAGGCTTGGAGCGAGGTTGAGAGCAAAAGTAGAGACTCAGAAGAAAGAGAGTCTGGTCCCTGGTTCAAGGTCCCCAAGTTCAGCCTGAAGCCACACTCCACAGGTAAGGATAAAGGAAACTTCAAACTGAGATAGATAACAACATCTTTGAAAAATTAGACTTGGAATCAAATTCTTGATAGTAACCAAGTCAAACATCATTTATCAAGTTCTTAATAAGTGGGACTAAATTACTTGATTCCTATATTGTCAAGAATATTCCGAAAAGTAATTATTTCCAAAATATATATATAGTACTAGCTATCATTTCAGTTTTCAGTTTTTATTTAAAAGAGGCACTCTACTGATTTTACACTTAATAGTCAGTTTACTAGTCATGGTTAGTACCGCCCAGTGTTAATATGTCTTCTCTGGTTCTGGTGGAGCTTTGTGAAGCCCTAAAAAGTAACCTGAGTGACCAGGTTATCTCTGCCTAGTCTCAGAGAATACAGATATTTAGTAGCTTTTGCAAGATGCGGCCCCCCCTGACTAAACGCCTGCTGTCCAGTTACATTATTGGAAGTTTAGGACTCATACTAAAAGTATATCTTAGTCTGTGCTGCATTCTGTCTTTCCACAAAGTTCCCCAAATGGTATAGAAGTGCTATTTAAAAGTACTCCTTTAAAAGAAAAGAATTAACAACAATGTGTTGTGTTGTATAATGACCTTTTTGTTTTTTATACTTCATACCTGCATTCTATTTCACTATATTACCATAGAACATATTATATAATACACTGCATTATACATAATTTATCTTTGCTACATTTGATGTGTTTTTTCTATAAATTATTAATATATATTTCCTGTTTTGTCTCTGCTACATAAGACTAAGTTTCTTTTTCCTCTTAATTTCATCACCTATCCTCCTCTCCTATCCTTCCTCTACTCGCCTCTGCTTCCTTCCTCACCTCCTCCTCCAGGCTTCCTCCAGATAACCCCAGAGGGCTCTCCTCAGGCCCAGCGGAAAGGGGCGGTGGGAGGTGAGGTTGACGTCTCGGGGTCTTTCTGCCTCCACACCTCAGGGCTCGACTTCACCACCCAGGATATGTCCCAAGAGCACCAGGTCTCCTCCACCGAGGAGGGAACTGTCACCATGGTGACCAAGACCACCAGAATAACCCGGCAAATTGTCTCCACTGAAACGCGAACAGGTGAATCTTCGACAACCACGTCAACGACTCACCAGGTGTCGGACTTTAACTACTGAGGATGCTGTAATGATATCTTAAATGTCTTTTAATTTTTTTGTTTTTCTTTGGTGAGGTTGCAGTGTTCTTGTAAGCTAAGCCTGCAACATGGCAAACCTCGATCGAGTAAAAGTCTTTATTTTATATTCTGATAGGTGAGGTATGAATGTGATGAAAAACAATGACGTTTCATCAATCAGCATTATCGTCATTATTACAGCAAACAGAGTAATATATGCTTCCTTTTTTCATTTTAAATGTGACTATTTTTTGTTATTTTTGAGTTTTGTTAGTTTAGTCCTAATTATTTATCATATTTTGTTTGGTTTTAAGGGTTTCACTCTGAATGTAAACATGTCGGATTGTTTAGTTATTTATTGTTGTTTGTGTGTTCAAAATGGGCTGGAATGAGTCATTAACTCACATCAGCATCATGGATTCGACCATGATTTTAAGTTCAAAATCATTCATTTTGAACCACTACAGGCCAGAGTAATATTTATGTAAATACAACTATATAATTGCTTTTTTGAAGCAGTATCCCTTCTACACGAAATGTAATTATTTTCATATTCACAAAAGTCAGGAGTAGAAATGATATTTTTTGACCTGATAACCTATTTTGTTTGTCTTGATAGAAAAGTGTGAGCTTTTTGAGATTATAGGATATTCTCATTTTCTGCCATAGTTTTATATTTTATGCATTTATCTGGTGCTGTTACCCAGAGATAGTCACAGTGAGTGAGCAGGACACTCTGGACTCTTTTTCTGCTGTGGGGATCAAACCTGTGACCTTCTGCTTACAGGTTGCTCTCAAACATTTAGGCCACCCTGCTGCTAATCTATTTTATATGTATGTTTTTACTGTACACTGCCAGACACCACTGTATATTTTGTGAATGAGGCTTTAGCTTCAAGATATTCCTCCTGGCTGATGCTGATTTTTTGAAACGTTTCAAAACATCAACAGTGAGCTGGGAGGCAATTTGGGGATTTAGGGGTGCTGTTGGGCGCTTTAAGAAAATCAGTGAGAGGATATTTTAAGGGTAAAACTGTAAACCTTTTCCTTTGACACTTAAAAAATAGCCCTCTAAAAATGATGTTACTATAAGGCTGCTACAATGACTGACTGGCTAAGGAGTGGCGAGCCTTTATCTTGTACAAAAGCCATCACAACAAAATATGTCCTCTTAAGACAGAAGAGATCAAGAACAAGAGGACCAAGGCACGTTACTAATCTGACATTCTTCTGTTTATTATATAAATATTTTTGAAGATATTATAGAATAACGTCAGATTAATAAAAGCATTTTTATACAGTGCCTTTACCCCTGTCCTCCATTTAAAGTATGAATTGCTTTGAAATGGAAGGAGAAAGCCTTGTGCTGTCTATAAGATATTTATTTTATTGTCTCAACATTTAAACATTTAAGTTTCATTCCCAAATGCAGTACCCACCATTTGAAAGAAAAACAGCTACTGTAACATTTCTGATATTAATTGAAAACTTACTTTTGAAAGCTACTGATTTTATACACTACTCATAGCCATTTACTTACAAGATAGCAGTTTCACAGGATACAACCACGTGATTTTTCAGAATAATGAGCTATTTTTCAAGTGAATGTAAAGCATTTAAGAATGAACACTTTACTAAGTATTGAAAAAGTTGACTTTACTTAGTTTGCTTTACTTGGTTGGTAGATGGAATGTAATTGTGTGATAAAATGCATTAAGACATCCTGAAATCCACTCCCACATTTTATTTCATTAACATCTTTAAACACAATGCCTGTTTTGCAGGTGAGAAATAGATAGATTTTTTAAAGCTGGAACAAGAGTAGTGACATGTCAAGGTAACACGCACTGAGTAGATTCTATGTGTATAGAGATTTTTACCTTTCTGGTTTAATCAAGTCCTCAAATTTCTTTTAGATGATAAGGTTTCAGTGCCATGTGTTTTTGTCAAAGCTGCATTGGAGAGGATGTTGGTTAAGATGTTATATCAATAAAATAATATTCCCACAAAAATTATTTGAATGATGGTGTCCTGGTGTCTCGACCCTCACAACAGCTGAATTAATTATAAAGGTTGTGGACTGATTGGTGTTTCATGAGGTTTCTCACTGTACGTCCACTCAGAAGTTAAGTACACTCACTGACAAATTCAAATTACTTTGGTAGAAAACATCCAGGTGTATGGAAACCCATTTACAACATCTTTAACTCACAACTATCTCAATATATAAGTAATGTAATGTAAGATAACAAGTACACTTACGATTTCATAATTTTGACTTAGTATATGATAATTTTAGGTTAGTATATAGTATTAATGTTTTATTATATATTTATGTCCTATTTTTTAACTTGAAATGTAACTTTAAATGTTCATAATCTCATGATACCTTGTTACAAGGAAGAATATTTTCATCTTCATTTTCCTGGCAAAAATAAGCTTCCATACAGAATGTGACCCATGTTAAAGGCCTGTTTCTATAAGATTTATCATCTTCTTTGAGCATAATGTGATAAACAACATCATCACACAAACATCAAACATTTATTTTATCATCAGATGAAGCTTCACTGGTAATGAAGACACCTTTCTAGCCAAACATTCACACAACAACACACAACAAATCATGGTGACTTGGTGTTTTTTGTAATGAACTGAGTATCTTGAATGGTCAACAGGCTAGTTACACTTTTACACTCATTATATTGGCTGGATTTTGACGCCAATGTCAAAGTACTTTAATGATGCCCCCAGTGGTGGTTTCAAGAAAAAGTTATTGTTGTTCTCATGTTCAGTGCAGCTTTAACATCTCAGTTACTGGAATATACTGATGGGTCTAGTCAGAACACATAGAGGTGCATCAGGACTGATCGTTCTCACCTGAACATGACAAAGGAAACACTGCAGGGCCATTCCCTGTATGTCACATTCTTCACTTGATTAAAAAGCTGCACTGCAGAAGCAAAAGCACAGGCGCAGCAAAAAATACTTTGAGGAACGGATTATTCTCACCTTTGAATTCAGCCTGAATCAGCCACCAAGAAAAAGGAGAATGAGAAACCTCTTTTCTGCTGTGGATTAGAGACTCAAAAGCACATGCATGAGTCTTATTGAAAAAGTCCTGGAGAGGAGGGACTTTGGAGGAGAAAGTGATAAACTATGCACACCAGTGCATGACGTCTTCCCATTTGTGTGTGTGTGTGTGTTCTCAATCTACTTATCTGCTGCTGTGATGATGCTGTACGACGTAGGCTACCAGGGTGAGTGTATGTGAGGGGAGACTAATGCTGTATGAGGAGCGAGCAGTGCCTCAGAGAGGAGGGCAGTGAGAATCAAGAGACTGCAGCATCACTGGCTACAGTGTGTAACAAAGAACATTATATCTCGCTATGGAGCAGACTCTCTTTACACTGATCTCTTCTAACAGGATGATAATCAGCAGCAGCACTTAGAAACTGTGGTAATGTCATAGTGACTTGAGTGTAGCTGTCCTGATAACTAAAGTACATTTCCTGACAACACCATTTTCATACTGTATTGTTTGGCTGACATAATATCATATGGTGCTATCAATATTGAATGAAGTTGTTCCTTCACTCTCTTTAGAAACAGCCAACCAGTTCCAGGATGAAATGGTTGGCTCACCATCCTCCAGCCAACAAACATGTCATCCATCTTAAATTTGCTGTTTAGTCTCCACCAACCTTTGTGTTGCTGCTGGCTTTTTATATCTATAATAATATTATGTGACAGAGGTCTCTGGTGCCGCTTATTATAAAGGTTTTTCTGCTGTGTAAAAACAGTTATTTTCTTTGACATTAGACATTATTTCCTGCGCTTTCTTCACTTTATATGACACCATATTTATAATTAACAAGTCACATAACGGGAGCGCCCATACATGAGGGCTACCAAGGCCTTACCCCCACACACTGCTACTACAACAACTGCTGCTACAGTTGCTGGTACTAGTCGGCTAACTTAACATGGTTGATGTATTCGCTGACAAAACACACAGGCCCACAGTAAACAACATAGTGCAAATAAAGTCAGATATAAACACTGTCATTGCAGAGTAGACCAAACTAATATCACCAGATTACCTGCTATAAAAATAATACTTTAGGCAACAGCAACATTTTCATCTTCTATCTGGAGTTCAATAAATATGAATTATTTCTACAGAAAACATGAAGAAAACTCTGTAAACTTACATTACCTGCATGAAACCACACTGTGCAATAATAAGCACAAGTTTGCACAAGTTGAGCTATATAATCATGTGATTAACTTCTCATATGAGACCTTGGGGAGCATGTATGTGTGTCTGACGCCCAATCTTTTAGTTCAGAATCGTTTTAATTGTGCAGCAGACAGAATCATTTTTACCCTGATGGGAATAAACATTTCCAGGCAATTATCCTTTTTAATTAAAAAATCTTTCGCCTGGCAGCTCACCTTGTGGAGTGTGTGTGTCAAGACTTCCCACAGTGACCGCAGAGTCGGCCAGAAGCCCTTTGCTGAATGTCTCTCTCTCTCTCTC